ATCCCACATGCACAGTCAGGACACAGCACGATACTTAACAAACTAGACCTGACTCGGCCACGGCAATCGAGACATCATGAAAACATCTCGCCGGATGGTGGTACCGTGACCGAGCCCCACGTATGCACAACACAGCAGCACGCAGCAAAGCAAAAGACAGCCGACAGCGGAGTAAACCAATGACCTGAGAATAGTGAGATCCCGATGACTCGGCCTGCATCTGGCACAGTCTCTTGAGGAACACATTGCACAGCCTCCCACAACCACCATGCACAGAGAACACGATGATGATGATGATGATGATGATGATGATGATGATGATGATGATGATGATGATGATGAAGCCACTTCTTTGGGCAAACAAAACACAATTTCCCAAGATGAAGGAGTGGAACCCTACACAAATAATAGTTTAAATGAATCCAACGCAAAGATCGTTTTTCCATGAAATACAACAATTGAACACAATTACATGCTTAAAGGCATGAAAGCAACAAAACAGCAACAAAAGGGTAAGCGCCATACCAATCCCGCATGCACAGTCAGGACACAGCACGATACTTAACAAACTAGACCTGACTCGGCCACGGCAATCGAGACATCATGAAAACATCTCGCCGGATGGTGGTACCGTGACCGAGCCCCACGTATGCACAACACAGCAGCACGCAGCAAAGCAAAAGACAGCCGACAGCGGAGTAAACCAATGACCTGGGAATAGTGAGATCCCGATGACTCGGCCTGCATCTGGCACAGTCTCTTGAGGAACACATTGCACAGCCTCCCACAACCACCATGCACAGAGAACACGAGAGGTGTGAAAGCGGCTCTTTCTACATTTGTGACTCTTGGCCCATATTCGTTCCACTTACGCCGCTCGTGCTGCTGGTACAATGCAGGAAGGGTTCTGGACCCGTAGGAAGGAGCATCTGGGCAAAATACCCTTACATCAAAAAAAGCTTCCTCCCCACGGGTCCAAAACCCTCGAGCGGCTATGTCCAGGCGCGCATCCTCTCGGCGGTTCGTTGACCGAAGAGGAAACCTCTCACCAGAAAGAGGTTGCAGCGCTGGTTCTGTCGAAACGGCAGTGCAGACTTCAGTCAATTCCCTCGCCAGCAGGTCACGTATCTCGTTATGACGAAGTGTCGGGAAGCCGCCCCTGGCGCAACATAGCTGATGCTCAACTGAGAACAGCTCACCACACACACAGGTTGCTGGTGTATTGGCTAGCGGCCATGCATATCTCAATGCCAGAGCATCCCGGAAGTCACGCTTGGTGAGACGAAAGCCATGCTCCGCCAGGGGCAGCACCCTCAGCCATGAGGATGATCCTTTCTCCGTGTGTTCTTCTATTCGTCGCTTCGTCATCTCATCGCTCGTGTCCACTATTTTGTTCCTGGCTGCCTTTGCGCGCTCCCGGTTTTCGGTGTGGACGACACGCTTTTTGTGACGCATTTCATCGATCATCCTCTGAAAGGGGGTACCAGCACCAGCAACATCAGCAGCCACATCCGGTCCAGGGTTTGAGTTGCCAGCGACCTCCCGCGGCTGCACCTCCGTAGCCGTCATCGTGGGAGTGGGAGACGCTCCACCACGGTCAGCAGTATCTGCAGAAGCCGGCACATCTCCAGCGAGAGAAATTGGATCGCTATCCTTAGCGAAATCGCCCAGAACCTCCTTCACCATAGGTCCGGACACTTGCTTGGAGCCCTGGTGCTCAAACCGTGGTCGAGTCGTGAGGTCCGGAAGGGCCATCCCACCATCCCGTGTCGGGAGCTTTAGAATATCAATGTCTTTCAGAGGCACGCTCGGTTGTCCCACGAGCTCCGGTAGAAGTGAGGAGTGAAGCTCCCGCTCCAACGGCGCCAAGTCCTCCGCAGAAACAGCCATAGTTCGAAACACATAGTTCCATCTGTTGACTAAGCCATGGGTCAACGCAGAGTATGCTGCATGTGGCTCTGATGCGGCATAATTTGCTAAAATCTCTGTATGTTTCACCCACTCTTCTACTTTTGTCTCTTTGAATTCTCCGAGGAATGCCTCAGTCCCGATAGCAGCGCCCAGATACTGTACGCCACGAGACTTGACGTGGATAGTTGTGTCACCAAAAGTCTCGGCAGCCAAGGACTCAAAGCCAGGCTTGACGAGTAGTTGCGTTTTTGTTTCGTTGATGTTGTAGCCGTATTTTTGGCCCTCTTCCTTAAGGAGGTTGTACCACTTTCGCAATGGGGAGAGCCCTCCGGCAGCTGCCGAGTCATCTGCAAACCATCCCTGGCACACATCTGCAACATTGGTTCCGACTGACTTGACGAGAGGGGTGAGAGCCGTGGCATAAATGGCCATCGCAAGAGGGTCACCCTGGGTTGTGCCCTCCTGTGACAATAAAGACTGGCCACCACGCACAAAGAGGGATGCAGGGTCTTGGTAAGTATTCAATGTTATTTGTGCTAGCGGGGGGCATACTCGAGCAATATTGTGCAATGCAGCGCGGCGATTCAAGCTATTGAAGGCATTGCGAGCATCGACTAGCAACACTGCCTCAGCCTTTTCCGAAGCAAAGGCAGCCGTCATTGAGTGCACCATAGCCTCCACCCCAGCCGGGATGCCCGTGCAGGCCTGAACTGGTCCGCAGGCTTGCATAATGTCGGGTTTCATCAGAAACAATGCCGCCTTGGAGCACAGTCTACGAAACACTTCACATACCCCTATTGGCCGAACGCCAGGGTTCTTGTTGAGGGCAATGAGTCTGCAAGCTGTGTACGGTGTGAGTGAGCCGGAGGGGACTGAGTCGGTACAGATCAAGCGTGTGAAGCACGCCACTGCCTCACGCAGATCAGTAGATGCACCTTTGTAACATGTGCATAGCCGCCGCCAAGCATCCGCGTCCAGGCCGGAAGGACCCGCAGAACCATGCAGAGAAAGGGCAGTGCGTTTGATCAACTCACCATTGACGCTGGCGAAGTAGATACTGCTGACATTGCCCGCCTCCTCCTGAAGCAGGATGTCCGGTGCTGCCGGTGCCGACCCCGGATGCTTCCCGACGAGAATTTCACGGACTGACTGGGATTGATGAGAATCAGAAATGATGTCGTCCATGCCCAAGACCGGTTTATCACACTTGGGCTTGGTTGCATTATCCAGCATTCTCAGTGCGCAGTGAACTCGGCCCTGTTCCATCAAGTGGCCAAACTCATGAGCAGGGTCTTCGCCACGCCTGGATCTCCGATTCTGCGATGTCTTGAGCATATGCTGAATAGTTCGACCCTCCTGCACTAGCTCCATATAGGAACCCTGGATCCATAAATTTAGTCTGCGACGAGTGTGGTCAGAGCACTCTGCGGCAGGGCAATTCCGACCTACTCGCTGGAGCACCAACGCTGGAAGCAGGAAGAAACGATATAGAGCAGTGGCTTCCGCTCCTCGGGACGAATTGAACTTTTGAAGTTCTGACGTGAGTGTCCGAACAAACTCTTTGCCAACACTGCCGGTCGGAGCCCGGAAGAGGTTCTTTTCCCAACTCGCCACCTCCTGATAGATGTCAGCCATGTCAAAAGGCATGGAGACCCGAGGGGTGGTGGGAACTGGAGAGGCAGCGTCCGGCTGGCTCGAGCCAAGCACCTGCGAAAATGGATCCACATCCGCATGACCAGAACCCGTAGCCTGCAAATCGATATTCCCCGTAGATGGGCATAGCTGGGGTTGGGATGAGATAAGAGTGGACCGTGAGTCATCCTCCCCATGCACTGCCTGTTGTACAGTACCCCCAGCGCCCGAATCCACACTCATCAGTGGCGCACCAGAGTCAGATTCCTCCAAACTGGTAAGCAAGTCAACCTGAGATGCTGTCGGAATCAATGCAGTTGCAGCAGAGGTGCCACTCTGAATAATCTGGGGCTGAGAGCTCGGGACCCCAGGCACCGAGGCAACATTACGACAGGTGCCAAGTCGACCCCTCCCAGGATAGCAGTTACTACAAACTCTGCCAGCCCTGACACAAGCGCATCGTATGCACGTACCCCCTGCTTGGCAGCGACAACATGGCACCGCGCTGGCTAGACCGCACTCGACTATGTCACTTGGGGAGAATGGCGAGGAATCAGAGCTGGGATGAATCCCAAGTGGGTGATCTACACGCCGCCAGGAGTCGACATCGCGCCTGCCACTGCCACAACCCTCATCTGCAGATGCAGTGGATTCATCAGAGCTATCCTCCGGTGATATGTTTCGCTGAGATGGCTGGCTGGCTGAACATCCTCCACCACCACTGACCACAATACCAGCGCCAACAGCGCCAGCAGGCTGCGAGGCGATGGATTCAGTTTGGTTGTGACAAAGGCTAGGGGTAGCTCTACCAGGGTAGCAGTCCACACAGCGCTTCTTCGCACGAACACATCTGCATCTAACACATTTGCGACCAATCTGGCAGTTGCAGCACGGCATCGCGACAGAACTGGCAGGGATAGGAGGTGTGAGGATGACTGAGGTGACGACAGCATCAGGACTGTACGACCAGAGTCACCAATCGTGTCAGAAACTGCCTCCAGCAGCAAGGCAGTCACACTCCTCTCCTCACTGGTCTAACACTGGCCATTGGGTGGCCATTGGGTGCCTCCAAAGGATAAAATGTGATGACCACTCCACCGAACAGCAACAGACAGCAGCGCCAGCCAAGTCAAGCTTCTCAGTTCCTCTCCAGCAACCAAGTCAACCAAGCAAACCAAGAGCCTCAGAACTGCCAACCGTTCTCCACTGAGCGATGATCGATGATGATGATGATGATGATGATGATGATGATTTTTTTTTTTTTTTTTTTTTTTTTTTTTTTTTTTGATGATGATGAAGCCACTTCTTTGGGCAAACAAAACACACATGATGATGATGATGATGATGATGATGATGATGAATACAGTGCGTGAGAACCCCACGCGCGGGTATGCGGGATCAGCAGAAACTAGTACTAGAGTAGAGTGATTGTGGCTACTCAGTATACGGGACGAAAACGTAAGACAGGGCACGAGTACATGTTGCGATTTAGAGAAATTTGACGGGAATCTCATGGGATTCGGAGTGGATACACTACAGAGGGAGCACAACAGTTTTACTTCAGAATCCGTTAGCCCGCGAACGGCAGATTTTGTTGGAGGCATGGCGGAGGTGAGCCACAGCTATCAGATGTCTATCCAGTTTCCTACTGCTACCACAAACTAATACTAAATAAAATGCAACAGGGTGTGCAGTTCAGAAGTAAAGTTTCCTAGATCTGTAAGTGGCTGCTTTGGAGTTTGCGGATAATTAGAAGAGAACAAAAATAGATGCTAAAACAGAAGACAAAGAAGTGAAACAATAAAAGTAATGGAAATTAAGGAGTGCCTTTCATCCTATTGTAATTTGTACTGGCACTGCTATCATCGTCCGAGTTCATTACAAGAGTCAGACCAAGAGACTGATCACTAACTTCCAGCCCTGCTGTAGCTGTGGGACCATCATCCCCTGCTTTTTGCTCACATGCCTCCAAACTGTCTGTCAGGTCAATCACAGCAGGGACTACATTATCAGACACCGTAGACATCGCTGCACTGCCAACAGCATTGGTCGCACAGGATGCTGGGCCTCCAGTCGCCCTACGCTGGTTGGCGTCACGAGGGTTGTATGGCATCCACGTACCGTCCGCCTTGTACTCGATATGATCGACTGACGACGGGCACTTATCTAGCACCTCCTTCATCAATCCGTCAATCATAAGACTGTCATAAACGGCAGAGCAGTCACAAATTGGACACACCCAAGAGCCGTTCTTCTCGTTCATCTGCAGGAAACTGGCCATGTCGAAGCAGTTGACATGCTTACAGTTTATCGAGCGGCCGGGATAGACGATACGAGTCGTTCCCAGTGGGCACTTCAACGAACTGCGTAAGCTGTTATCTAAAACCTCTACTTTGCCACCACCGCTGGTCAGCTTATCCTTGATGTGCGCACGACACATGTCTGCACTGCGGATACGATGACATACCTGTTGCAGCAGGTCGGCTGATGATCGCTTCAAGCACAGGTCCACAGCGACAACATACTTGCCTATTGCTGGAACTGGCAAGCACACAACCTCTATGATGTTCATACCGCTGAGTAGCATGTTGGCAGTTATCTCCACCGGCTGACCATGCTTTTTCAACTTACCGGACGACTTGGCCATCTCATACCCCGGCATGATTACAGTCTCCCCATTCACGTAGAGATGGCACTTGGGTGGGTATTGATCGTCTTGCATAGAGCTCAGGTTGCATTCAGCAAATCGGACCAGCACCTCTACGGTGAAGTGAATGTCGCTCTTGTGGTCGGGACCGTACACTGATGGAACCGTGCTACGTCCTACTTCCACGCAATCAACCTGCTCCGGAGTCAGGCTGCACTCAAAGGTCAAAGTTCGAGGGGCCGTGGCTTCTTCATCGTCAAACGAAGGCAGCAGAATAGGCTTCAAAAGGTTGGCCAGATTTTTATGAAATGGCAAAACCTTGAATTGAACATCCACAGCAGAACCCGAACTCCAAAGCGATTGTTTCTGTACACCCCCAACGCCATGGCCAGGCACTGCTGTTGCCGCTTGGGAAAAGTGCCTCTGGTAATACAGGCGAAGCTTGGCCAACACAAAATGCAAGGACGCACTCTTAATGGCAGAGTTGATGCACACCAAAGCCCTTTGACGAAGTTGATCCCTTTTGCCGTCAGTGTTCAAATTGCATGACTGCAGAAATCCTTGAAGCTCTTCTACGCGGAGAGCGTAGACCATTCTCTTGGCCATTTTTGACCGCCCGATGGAGATAGTATTGATGGCTTTAGACATACTTCTTGCTGGCAGTCCTGACAAAATGATTGAAATATTGAATGATTATAGCTAGTGAACTGCAACCTTCAACAGGTTGACGGAAGTTGCCTTCTACCACACTACGACAGCTATCTGGAACTGAAACTAAATCTCTCAGCAAGCAAAAAAGGTTCCTTGCAGACTTTGGCCAAAGCCAAGGCAAACGTGCCACAATCGGGGATGCCCGGTTATTATTACTAAGCGCAGTCTAGAAAGAACACAGCCTAGCCCAGTGCAAACGCAACAAACATTGGATTAACTGGTCTCGTCAGAACTGATCATGTCAGGAGAATAGCACCAACAGAATGTCTCGCCAGAAACAGAAGCATGCTATAATAATTATAACGTACGAGCAGCGACCTTAGCCATCAGTTTTCGGAACATACAGCTGAACTGCAATGTTGTCCGCTGCGCGTATCGGCCATCGGGCACACGCACACACACACACACCCGCACACGCATACGTTGATCTAGAAGCAGCTGTCATCATGGTAAGATTCGCAAGCTGTGATTTTGAAGAGCACGGGCCAAAGTCCAGAGAAAGTGAACTCGTGACGACAATCATATAGTACACTTTCAACCGTAAATGCTCCAGTCCTATGGACTGCAGGCAAACATATTCACAGTCTATCAGTGAAACCCTAGAGAACAGTCATAATAATAATTATGGAACTGCTCCACCTACAGAAGAATTATACTGTGTCTAGTGAAGTAGGTATTACGTACACATCATGACGAATAGCTATCAGCAGTACAAGCCCTCACTTTCCGGCGGTATGACAAAGGCAAAGACTTGAAAGAGCAAGACTGGACTCCAGTCGAGGGTGCACGTGACATGTGTAAGGTAAGGGTGGCCACATCATGCGAATTATTTTGTCCAAATTGAAAAAGCGAAAAAAACGGTCAAAATGTTTTAAGAAAATTCAAAAGATTCCCCAAAATGCAGAAAAAATTCGATCTGTTGCCATGGTTTTTACAGTACTCATACCCAATAGTTCCAAACAGAAACAAAAAAATCCACAAACTGCTTATTATGTGTGTCTGTGTGCTTCCAAATTCGGGGATGGGTGTCAAAAGGTCAAAGGTCAAAGGTGTGTGTATTTGAAAGTACTGTTTTTTCACATGTCAAACTTGGTACTATTGAGCAGCACATGTACTCTCCAGATGTGACAGCACTGTCGTTCTCCAAAACGGCCAAAAATTCAATCCTGATGGGGCCAAAATTCCAAAAAAATTCAAAGTGCGAAAATCCAACCAAAATTCAAAAAATAATTGAAAACATTTTGTGGACAAGCCTAGACATGTGACGCGCGTGACTGGGTGATGTCACCACATTTCCAATTGTTATGTGAATGTGAAGAAGACGTTGGTGCGACTTCGCCGATAATAGACCGATATCCCTTTATTATACTGGGTTCGAGCACGGGGGCTACCTCTCCTGTGATCGAGCTAGTTTTTGAACGTGACAGCATCCTTTACAGTTTGTTTTCCGGTTTGTTTTGGAATGTCTTCTGCTTAGTTCAAGTGGTGTACGATGGCTGCGAGCGGTGCTGAACCTCCTGCTGGTAGGAGCAGAGTCTCCGAGAGAGACATGGACTGTGATGCAGCTGCAGGATTTTTTGAAGGCGCGGGAGGGAAAGATCTCGGAGCACAAACAGGAGTTACTCTAGAGGTGAGTTTTTTTGTTGTTGAAATATTCGAATCGCGAATCGTCTTGTGAGATTTATTGTTGTGCCTAAGCTACAGCAGACTGTATTCCTTTCTCCTTGAGATCGGTGCTGAAGAATATAGTAACCATTTCTGGTCTGCCTTTTCTTCTTCAGGGCCATCTTTTATGAAGGTAACCGTGATGCTGCCAAGTCACCAAGTCACGATCGCGATCAGCAGCCCTGAAATGGAAAAGTCGATTTTACAACGGTCTGGTTGGACATCAGCCACGAAAGTACTTCTGATTAGGCCTGTAGTGACACCAGCAGCCATCCTTGGACACCTTGCAAAAAGAGGAAACGCCACTGCTAGATGCGACTGGTATGAGGTGACGATAGCAGTGGCGATCGCTGCTTTGTCAAGTCGAAGGGCTAGCCAACCCAGTGGAAGCATTAAAAAACGAAGAGCAGTGGGTGGTATTTGTTGAGCATGAAGAGCTAGAGGAGACCATTGCAAACGCATGGAAGGAGTGCATGGTGTTTGAAGAACAGTGTGCGGTGTGCCGCCTGGTGGTGATGGTGGTCTTTGTCAGCATGTATATGTATATGTATTCGTGCCGCTTCTTGTTTTTTTTGTTTTATTTTGTTTTTGAACAAAAAACAACAACAACAACTTATGCGTTTTCGCAACTGTGTGAAAACAAGTGCTAGTTGCTGAAATATTAGTAGTAGAGTAGTAGTAGAATTTATTATTTTACTAGGGAACTCCCAACAGGCGTTGCCCTTTTACTGGGAACCCTAGGAATCGCATCCATATTTTCAGAAAACGCTCGAAAAATGCTAATATCGCAACTTAAAATTGGAGAGTTCTTGTGCAAAAAAGCCAAACAAGGAGAAGAAATAGCGGAAGTGCAGCGACAGCAAACTCGTACGGATCGTATACACCCCTTACCGCTGTGAACCACCACTTCACACAGTGCCAGTAACCTGTTGCATGTATCCTACATCATTCCAGTGCACGGAAAAGGGAATGCACATTATCGTAACTTGGCTGCCTTTGATCTACCGTTTCTCTAAAATGAGTCTGAAGGCAGGCGAGAAGTGAGCGAGTACTGTATGCATTTGTCCGACATGTGGACTGTGACTCAGCAATCGGCTGGACGCATGGCACAGCAGAAAATTGCAATACCTGCCTGGTGTGGTGTACCCTCACCACATGTCGAATGCAACGGTGTACGCCTCAACGCGACAAGACCCAGTCAGCACTACCTGTCGCAGACGTCTGGCTGGGCCATGTTGTTCGCGAAGGACGTAACTCAGCGTCCTACCAAGCACTGGAGATGGCAATTAATACCCCGGGACATCAAGCGTCCACGTGGCCGACCCCATCTCAGATGGATTGACAATATTAAAAATGATCTAAAGCACGCCAATATTGATATTTCTGACTGTTTTGAACTGGCTCTGGACAAGAAAACTGACAGATGCTTGTGGAAAAATGTGCTGCGCTTGCGTAGTTGCTCTTACTGCGATACCTTCTAACAATAATGAGATGCCTTTTGTTGGCTCTTCTGTCTGGATTTCGTTGACAGATGTGTTAAGCCCAAAGATCCTTCCATGAGTGACATGCGAACTGTAACTATTATTATTATTATTATTATTGCGTGCTAGTTTGTACGTGAAGTGTGTGGGTTACAGTGAGGGCTGCGTCCCACCCGCCTGTGTGGATTCACAGGAAGTGTGAGTTACGAAGTCTGAAGAAAATGTTGAACAGTCTCTGCTGGGATGACGACTACACCATAGCTCAGTGGTTAGAGCATCGCTGGCTACAAGCGAGGGTCCCTGGTTCGAGTCCTGGTGGTGACGGTCAATTTTTTCTTCAGACTTTTCCCGTTTGTCTCTTTCCCTCAAACCAGTTAATATTATTATTATTATTATTATTATTATTATTATTAGCTGTGACCATATACTGAGTGTTACATGTATACAGGTAGAATGGACTTTGCTCTGGGCATTGAAAACCTGTCGTTATTCGCGATTTGTCGTTATATCCGCAGTCGTTATCAGCGAAGTTGAGGTGGCAGACTACCCAAAATTCGCTGAAAAATCGAATTTGTAAATTCATATTGAGTGCTAAGTCAGTTAAAAGAGCTTGAATAGCTGCAAATTCTCTGAAAATTGTGTCCCGATCTGAACAGCCGTTCAAGAGTTATGGCCTAAAATGTGCCCTTGCAAGGAAAGATTTTTTTGTTGCACGCTGTCATTTGTTGGCAGCACTGTATTTGAATGTGAGCAGACCGTGCGCAACTTGTCGTATCATGGAAACACGCGAAAGTGTGCAGAATTTTGCCCAAGTCCAAAAAAGTCCAAAAAATCACGTTAAAAACCACGTATTGGGTTGCACGGCGGCGGGCGAAGCCCGCCGCCTTGCAGCAGGACTTTAGCCAGCACCCTCGTGACGTTGCAGATAATGTGGCTTGATTATTGTAGTTGACGTTGATTTAGTGACTTTGGCAAGTTTGAGTCGTGTCAAGAAGTCACGTAGGATTCAGTACTAGGCAGTAGCGGAACGTGAGTGGTAGTCTTTGACGGTTTCTGAGGGTATCATGGATTTGGTGTGCAGCGCTTTGGAAATGGCTTGCTGTGGAGGTCCCAGCACTGGATGTTGTATCAAAGGTACGACCTCGTAGCACGTGCTAAACCTAAAAAATTCAAAAATTGACTTGGGTCTGTGGGAGTCCGTGAGAGAACGCCCACTCGTTCCGTTGTGACAGATTCCAGGGCCACGTTGAGGGGCCCTACCACACCACCGATGGCTGCTTCTGGACTTGTTTTAGGTTTGGGTGCCGCGCACGGACAGAATGGGCACGAAAATGTGAAAAAATTGTAAATGCATTTGTTTGGCTCCTGGGTGGCTCGCACACTTTGGCACTATGCCGGAAATTTGAGTTTTTTCGGCCTGGAAAGCCTGTCAGTGAGGCGCAAGAACTTGTAAATCATGTCCTGAGTGCCAGCATAGTGGCAGGAGTGTGTGGTCAAAATTGCACTCAAATCCACTGAGAAACACCAAAGTTACGGTCTATTGAATGCCATATGAAATTTATGGGTAGGCTGCCCCCTTAAGGCTGTCATCACACCATGGTACAAAGCGCTGCGTCTACGTCCACGTAAGGAGTTTTTGGTCGGTTGTCATGATGATCCGTATACGGGGTGAAAACGGGAGCAAAGGAAACGGGAGACGTGGACGTGGTATGGAGAGGGGGGGGTATACGACTTTTTGTATGAACGTGC